TGGGATCCTTGTCAACTGCAATTCAGGTTTTCAATAAGAAGTGTTTTCATGTTTTTTTCGTTTAATCAGAAATCGTGGCATTTGCTAAGAATAAGTGTAAAAGTTAACAAGTCACATATCATTTCGATTGAACAATATTTCAGTTCTGTATCGAAGGAATGGCTCATTGTGGTTCACTGGGACTCGAATGGGCATTGCGTAAACGTGCTGAGTCGTGGTTAGGCGACGTTGACTTTGTTTGCATTACCAATGGGCAATGGTTGAGCAACCGAAAACCATGTCTGGTCTATGCAGCACGGTTGTTATCGCTACTATTTGTTGTACTAACATATGGGCATGCGACTAGTTCAGTAGCATGGCTCTTGGGTGAATATTCAAATTACTGTTTGCTTGTTGACGGGAATGAATTAATTTAGAGTTAGAAGAGTTGTATTGTGTGAATAATGTGATACCCTATTTTATAAAATCTAGTGTGTTGCGGGGAGGGGAAAGCCAGGGATGACATTTTCATGCAGTCGGCTCGAAAAAAGTCGGGGACGTGCTCCCCAAAATTTCCCAATCCCCGCAACACACCAGTGTGTTCTATTCAGTATTGATAGACCTATTTTTAAAAAAAAGCTTTGTGTGCAGAAGTGAGCATTATTACATTTGTGTAAGAACCGAAACCTTTATATGGCTCGCATAAAAGCTCGGAAATCATTATGCTTATTCTTGCGATCATTTTGATTGTGTGATGATCGATATCTATCAATCAATTCATCACGAAAATAATAGCACGCTTGGATGTGCTGCTACTGCTTAACGACTCTAACCATAGTTCAGGGCTGCTCAATCCATATCCATACCTAAATGTGCTAACAACTAATCAGGATGTCCAGCAATTAAAAAATTTCGAGTTTTCAGAACGTTCAGTATGTTCTGATCGGATCTTAATATATGTGATCATTATAAAAACGCGAGCATTTTAGAATGTAATCGCATGATGAATGATCATACTTATTGATGACGCTTTGTAGATACGAACCAATGAAAGACTTGTGCTGGCTGTTAAACCAATTAACTGATATGTCGGGTAGAATGACTATTCCGGGAATCGACAAGCATATCGCTGCTTTCAGTGAGCAGGAACAAAAAATTATCGAATCCATTGAATTTGATTTAGTCAGTGCGTTTGTTTATTATCACTGCTGCTGTATTGTCAGTGTTTGCTTTCTTTAAAGTTTTTAGCTGATTCATTCTGTTTTCTTTCTTCAAGCATTTTGCTCGTTCTGTTCCGTTTCGTTCTCAAGCTGAAAATTTCCTCAACCGTTCCTTTCATGCAGAGATATTCAAGCTGTGCTTCTAATGCTCCGTTTCTTCACGAACATCACCCATTTCATTCCGTTCCCTTATTGACTTTCAAATTATTCGGTTG